AGGTTAATTTCGAGAAGTGGTCTACGACGACGAATATCCACGCATGCCCTCGTTTCGACCGTGGATACTTCCCCAAGAAGTCGATATATAGCTTCTGGAAGGGGCGGTCGGTGCGCACTTCTTCCCCAATTCCGACCTGCATCCGGTAGTTTTGTGCCTTGGTCTCCTTGCATGTATCGCATTTCCGCACATAGTCCCTGATTTGTATGGCCATGTTCGGCCAATAATATCGCCTGCGCAGCGCGTGCAGCGTTTTCCTCATGCCTCCATGAGCTGACGTCTCGTCCGCGTGTGCTTGTTGGATGAGTCCTGCACTGACTCTGGCACCCAGAGCTTCCAACTTGTGTCTTCGACCTCATCCTCCAAGCTCTCATTCACGGTCCTCTTGAACAGAAGTCCGTCCTGTAGTCTAAGATCCGGCAACTTCCCTTGTTGGCTCATCACCTCTTTTATCAGCTCTCGATTTTCGGTGCTCTCAAAAACCGTCAGTTCGACCCCCTCCACGATTCGGGACAGCGTGTGTGCAACGACGTTGTCGGCTCCCTTGCGGTACTGCATGGAGAAAGTGAACGCTTGCAGTTCTAGGGACCACCTGGCTAATCTACCCCTCAAGTCTTTTAGACTCATAAGCCACTGCAGGCTCACATGATCGGTGATAACCGTGAACGGCATCATCTCCACGTACGGTCGGAATCGATGTATGGCCAGTTTGGCGGCTAGGCATTCCTTCTCGGTCACCGAATAGTTGATCTGGTGCTTGTTGAGTTTGGTCGAGAAGAATGCGAGCGGCCTTTCTTGTTGCCCGTCGTCTAGCTGGAACAACACGGCTCCTACTCCGTAGTGAGATGCGTCGCATTGGATGAAGAATGGTCTTCAAAAATCCACGTGGACTAACACCGGGGCTGTGGTGAGGGCTAACTTCAAGCTTTCTTTGGCATCTATGGCTCGTCACTCAACACAAATCTACTCGTTCTCTTCTTAAGGGCATCAGTCAACGGTACCGAGATCTCGGTGAAGTTCTTTATGAATCGTCGATACCACCCCGCTGTACCTAAGAAGCTTCGTGTTCCTTGACCGTTCTCGGATTCGGGATGTTCCGGATCACTTCAACTCTTCCCGGATCCATGCACAGCGTCCCGCCGCCTATGATGAAACCCAGGTAGTTTGGGTTGCGGAAGCAGAATTTTGACTTCGCCATGCCTATGGTGAGGTTCGCGTTCCTCAGACACTCGGCCACCAATTCCAAGTATTTTAGGTGCGTTGGAAAATTTGCCGATATTATCAGCAAATCGTCTAGGTATACGAACACGTTGGACCTCAGATTCAACGGGATTACCTTGTCCATGAGCCCGCAAAGTTGTTGAGCGGCATCGCAGAGCCCGAACGGCATGTGGCGGAACTGGTACAGTGGCCTCCCTGGTACGGTTAACGCCGTATACGCCCTGCTCTTCCCCTCCATCTCGATTTGCCAGAACGCGAACTTAAGGCCGACGCTAGAGATAAAATAAGTCTCGTCGATTCGCCATAGGATGCCCTCTATGCATGGACGCAGGTAAGCGTCCTTTACCGTCACACTATTTAATTTCCTGGCGTCTAAGCAAAACGTGTTCTTCCCAGGCCTCATCACCACCGTCGTCCGGTTGCTCCAGGGGCTGTCACACTCCTCGATGATGCCTGACTTTAGCATTTTATCCACCTCGGCCCACACGATCTCCTGTTTGGCCGGAGAAGCGGATAACGTCTGTCCTTCACGGGCTCTGCTCCCTCGATCAGCTGAATTCGGTGCTGCAGCAGGTGAGTTTTCCCTAGGCCATCCTTCTAAAATTGGAGAAATCTACGCTTCACGCTTTCCAACTGACTCCTCTGATCTTTGTCCAGGTCCCACATTTCCGGATCCGCCGCGCAGTCGTCGTCGTCCCGGTAAAAGGCCACCTCTGGGTTCGCTACCGTTACCTCAAATGCCTCTGGGGGTGTTTCGGACTTTCTGGTCGGTCCGAGCAGCTCTAGTACAATCTCAGGTATAGTTCCTGTCGCAGGTCCGGGCACATGTAAAATACGACATCTTCCTTTCTATTCTTGTATTTCACAGGCAGAACAACGCGACCTAAAATTGGGCGATTGGCACCCGCCGCTGTCCTCACCATCGATTCGTATGGCCACGCTTCCCATCCCAGTTCCTCCACTAACTCCCGGCATCCTCGTCCAAGCAGACTGACTGAGGCCTCCGTGTCCAACAACCCTTTCATCTTGGCGACTCCCACTTCGGCGAATGGGTCTATATTATCCTCCCGTCTCACCGCTTCGACGACCTGGCGCCGGGTATTCCTGCGTCTGTGGAAGCGCGCACGTGCCTTCACCACTCTCCGGGTGGCTGGTGTCATCCCTTCCAGCTGTCGCTCAACAAATATTCTATTTCGGGCCGACATGTATGCCCGAACACGTTCTTCATATGGTAAGACCCTAAGTGTTTCTCTTTGCTTATATTATTATTATAATTAGCCTTATCCTGATCCTTATCCCAAATCTCCGTCTCCTTTCCAATGATTATTGGCTTTGGTAAGTACCCCTCTCCTGCTTCCCCGCAGTCGCCGTCCTGGCACGCGTTTCCCGGACAGTTTTCACACTGGGAGCAGAAAGTGTCCGGCTTTCCACACCTATAGTAGAATATTTTCCGCTCCTTAGACAGGCAGTCTCTAAAGACGTGATCGAACTGTCTGCAGTTCCAGCATACAAGTCGGGATGAGTTCCTGCCTCGCACGAATGCTTCCTCCAGTTCTCCCGGCGGCGTTTCTGTACGATGTGGTGGTACTTCAACCTCGTGGACTACGGGCCTCGTTCCTTGTGGACAACGCGACGGCGGCAGGTACGCCGTCCGGCTTCTGCGACCCATGTGCCTCTCCACTTCTAGACACTTTTGGCGCAACTCATCCACGGTGAGTACGTCCATGGCATAGATATATTTCGCAGGACTTTCTTTCAAACCGCGCTTTATAATCTTCACCAGTTCGCGGTCTCTCAGCGGCTTCTGGAATCGCGCGGCGAGTTGACGCATGTGATGGATATAATCATCTACCCCTTCGCTGGCCTGTTGCTCTCGTTGTAATAGCTCCTGCATCACATCGTGTTCCGTCTGGTAGCCCCGGAACCTGTCCAAGGGGGCATGCCGCAGCTGCATCCAGCTGTCGACCCTAGAATGCCGCACGTGAATCCAATACCACTCGCGGGCGCGGCCGGTCTGGAGCAGGTGGAAACCGCGCAGGACCTCCTGCCACGGGCATTGGTACTGCCTCTGCAGGAACTCCAGGCGGAACAAAAAGTCCTCGACTGAATTCATAGCGTCCTCGCCGTCAAACTTGACGTTCCACCGCTCGAGCTTCATGCGCGCCGTTTCTCGTACTCCGGTTGAAATCATCCGCTCTCCGGTCCTCTACTCGGAAATGGCGGTTATTCTGGTTACGCCAGTTCCTCGACTGAGCATCGTGCGCCTTGTCTATGTGGCTTCGGTGGCACCGGTAGTGAAAATGCATCGCGCTGGAACACTTCTCGTTCTTTCGGGATGGCGCCTGTTCGTGGTCCCGGCTCATCATGTCTCGGCGTTTTCGGCGCAGTGTTTGTCTCGGAATAATGGCTCCGTGGCGGCCTGATCACATCAATGATGCCCTTCATCATTTCCATGAAGCCAGCTCGCATCTCCTCGCGGATGGACTCGCTGATGCCAGATGGCAGAGCATGCCGATGCGTTTGGTGGGCCTGAGCGATCGCCGCGTTTGCCGCCGATTTGAGCACTGAGTCTTTCGGGGCTTTTGGGATCTCCAGGTTCCGTGGAGGTTTATCTTGTTGCGCCAATTCTTTCTCCAAGTCTACCAGGTGACCCTCTTCCGGGATCTGTCTCTCTGGAAATCCCCGGAAATTCATTGGCGTTCGCACCAGGCCCCCAACCGGGCGCGGCAGTGGCAGAGCCGACGCCCCATCAGCGTCAGAAGCCCATTCAGAAACCTGTTGCTCAGCCATACTTATCCCTTTTGAGAACTGTACCCCTCTCTTCTACAAGGCTTACTACCCTTATATAATAAAAAACTTTACCAATATTCTTAATAAATTAATATATAAATAAACACGCACTAACAAATCTTACTAATAAAGAATAATAAATTAATACACATCGACCACAAAAATACTCACAAAAATAAATTTGTTTCTTTCTAATTAATTTCAAATACTTAGGGGAGAGAAGACAAATCCTAACACAGGCTAACTAATCTACGCATAATCTGGACAGTAGACAACACTTAAGCATTCGTCAAATGCTCAGCTCGTCAGTTTGACTGACGAACGGCATTTAAGGAACGCTACCTTGAAGGCTATTTGGTTTCTGTCGCACTTCTGGGCACCCTTAGGGTATACTGTGTGACAGGTGCGGCGCAGGATCAGCTTTATATCGTCCTGGGTCACCTGTCTCCGAAGCTCATTTAACTACGGCCAGCACACCCCAAACGTTAGCACAGAGTGGGACAAAACAAATAAAAAAACTTAACAAACTCTGGTAAGAGTACCCTAATATCACATTATGTCATAAGTTATTTTGTCGTGGCGGCTACCACCAGGTTACGATAAACGGTTACGAACGTTTCGCCAACATGCGAGCGTGACTTACCGTCAGCAGCCACTACAAGAAAACTTCTCATGTTAATGGATATTCTCTACTTTCGTCGTACTTCTCGGATTCCACTACATCAACGCGATTATTAGCTACCTACTTCAGCGGGTTGGGTCCTGAAGGCATCCTTTTCTCTGTACCTTTATTTATATCGTATTTATTTTTTTTTTGATGACGCAATTAATTTTGGCGCCATATTGTTACGGAACTGCTTGGACCGCGCCGGCTGGCTCCTCGGTTTCTCTGGGTGTAGTTCCATCCCTGGCCCGCAGTCCGCACAATCGATAACAGCTACACGTCTGTAGCAAAGCAGACTTACACAACACTATGCAAAAGCGAACCACAAATCGATAACGTCAAACAATCGGAACTTCTAACTCATAAACCAAATAAGCAGCTGTAACAACTATGAACATGTAAACAACAAAGGTGAGACACTAAATATAAATTAACAAAAAACACTATTTATTCACCTTACTCTTCCAGATCGGGCCCTGGTCCGGGCATTTTGCCATTAGATGGCCATAAGCCTGTGCCGGCTGTTATGCCAACTCTCCCCATCAAAGAAAATTTAGCCGGGCATTTCTCTCTTCAGATACGGCATATAATTGGTTTCATTTCTTATCGTTATTAACATTTAATCTTATTTCTTATTCCCCTGCAGGTTATCTTCAAGCTGTTATATATAATTTCGTGCTCGGCAAAATTTCAGGCATTTTTAACCAGGTGCATACGATAAGTTGGTATATTCTTATTTTTAGAATAATGGATATAAGTTTTAAATTTCAATTTTTTTTCCATCTTTCAACTTCGCTTCATCAGTTATTTATAACGCGTTGCAGCATTTCATATTTATAACAATTTCTATTAATCTTAAATATATTAAATTTCCTCTATTTTTGTAAAGAATACATTTTTTTGTTGGCGACCTTCATACAATACCGGAGACTAAAAAAAAACGGCCAGAAGTTATTGCCAGTCAAAAAAGGAAAGGGAAACAAGGGGAGAAATATAAACACAGGTAATTATTTCACCAATGGGGAGCAAGTACCCGCTAAAATAAATGCGTGTAACCGAAGCGCTTATATTACCTTGCCTGCCTAAAGAGCTCTCTGGGTGGGAGGCATCTGCACCTGAGGTGCGTAACATATATATATATACGTATAATTGGGAATCACGTGTGCATAAGTTGTCCACAATCAAAACTTTGTAACTTCATTCTTTACCCGGCAGACGCAATAATCTTTGGGCCCTTTCCTTCCCGGTTCGCACTTTCGGAAATTTACTTAATTTAAATTAGTCGTGAGTATTTTTATGTTTTTAATAACAAAAAAAATCGGTTCTCTTTCAGGGAGCACAATGGGAAGTCTGCGTCTGACTCTGCCGTTTACTCAGGCGAGTAGTCACGAAATGAAACAGACTCACTCGGACGATGTGGGCGTGGTCTCGCCCGTGGCCGCCGCAAAAAATAAATATCCAACTTCAAAAATTCTTAACTGCGAGCCGGTACGTCCGCTGTGGACCGCTGACAAAGTCGAATTCTCCGTACATTTGGGCAGCAACATCATCGGTGCATACATTGGCGAGGCGGGCACCGTTGCTACCCATCTGCACAGCTGCATTTTTTTGGGTCAATGGCCCAAATGACGGTTAAAGGCATATCCAAGGGCATGCGATCCACTTTTCTCATATTTTTATTAACAGCGAACCGGGCGGCCAATAGCAATCGTGGCGCCGTGGATCGCAAGTCTGGAGTATCCACCCTTCAAAAATTTGAGCTCCGTTGCCGGCCCAGCTTGACCCCGCATACTCTGACCATATGACAAAAAGATATCGGCATGGCCGATAATATCGCACGCAACCAACTAAGTAAACCCTCGGTGCTGCCGATAACGTCAAATGCTATAACTGACAAATTTGTATATATTTTTCGAAAATGTTTCCCACATGATCTTGATAAATGTGCTCTATATTAAGTTGGTCTTGATTGAATATTATTATTAAATTGACAATATCGCGCCCAAGATGTTTTGGTATGCGTGTATACGTTTGACATAAATAAAATGAGTCGATGTTTTTATGTCGACCCATACAAGAGTATGAACATATATTATATTGTTTTTCACATGCTACATCATCAAATATCATTATCGAGCTATGCTTAGCTTTCTCAGGTGGTATAACACGTTTTATTGGGGTTACTAGATTTTTTAGTTTTCATATTTCGGTTGAAATAATGATATTGAGTATAACTACATATTTTTAAATTTAAATTTGGGCTCTCTATTAAGCTGATCATCCCATTTGTCTTTCCGTAGTTAGATGGACATACAATTGAGTTTGGTAATAGCATATCGAATATTATTTTCATTGGAAGAAACATCAATATTTCTCACTTCTATAATCTTTTTCGCTTCTTCAAATGCATATTTAATGATTTTATTCTCGCAAAATGAATATCATTCATTCATATACCTTCAGCGATTAGGTATCAACAAAAATGTTTCTTTGTTTTTATAAAAGATTCAGTCGTAAGCAAAATGCCTATTGTGGAGGTAGTCTAGTTAATAACATAATTAATAGCCTTCCGATTGAATTGCATGGTATGAAACTCAAAGAACTCTTACAGCATGGGACTAAAGGCATTAGATGCAGCTAGCCGGAAGCACGATATAGCATATTCAGAAAACAAAGAATTAGGCAAACGGCACATAGCTGATGTAAATTTAGCTGATAAGGCTTGGGAGAGAATCAAAGCATCTAACTGAAGCATTGGAGAAAAAGTTTCTGCATATTTCGTTACGAACGCAATGAAAACAAACAAAAAACAAGAGGTTCTATTCGGGAGCTCCCGACTAGGGGATACCCTGAACCCTCTTCTTCCAACATCAAATGCACATATATATTATATTTTAGAATCTATATGTCAAGTTTGGTGACTCAAGTTCTTTTTATTTACCAAAATTGCCCAAAAAACAGGATATCGATATCGATTTTTATCGATTGCCAGGGTAAGTTATCGATTATCGGAAACAAACTCGATCTGCGCAGGCACTAGGAGCACCTACATCTAAAATTTCAAGTCTCTAACTCTTATAGGTTCTGAGATCCCTGCGTTCATACATACGGACAGACGGACGGACGGACGGACAGACAGACGGACATGGCTAGATCGACTCGGCTATTGATGCTGATCAAGAATATATATACTTTATGGGGTCGGAGATGCTTCCTTCTGCCTAGTCGTGAGCTCCCGACTAGAACCTCTTGTTTTTTATTGTATACGGTATATACAATCTCCATCTCTCTCTATTGCATAAAAAATGATCCATATATATATTATCAAAGACTACAAATGTTTTGAAAAAAACAATTTTTTAAGTATTAAATTAGGTAATGCTTAATCTGCTTTACAATTGGAAGAAACATTAAGGCACATAACAACACCATTGCAGAACTAAGAGTTATAAATTAAATGATGGGAATGATTACGATGATGATGATGACGATTTTATTGATGCTAATACAAGAATCAATCAAACTGATGTCTATGCTGATGTGGATGATGATGATGATGATATTAATGATATTACAGTTAATCAATTCTACTCTCAATCTAATGTTGGAGTTGAAAATATATTTAATCTAAATGAATTAGCTAGAAAAAAGATACTTGATAAAGCATATGGACCATATAATGATTTAAATGGTGAATTAAGGCTAAGAAATTCTATTAATCAAATATCAGAAGAAAAATTTATTCTAGACAGTGGTGAAACATGGGAACTCACCACAGGCTTATATTTTATAATTTATGAAAATACTCGTCAGAATTATAACGATTTAGATCTACCAAATTTTAAAGATATTCTAATAAAAATTTCTGTTCACAGAAAACATAACAAACCTGATGGACAACTTAAAGGAAATCGTTCGAAAAAATATTTACCTATAATTAAACATCTTTTTCCAAAATTATCCTAATAAGTTCTTTTTCATACAACAGTACCTATTGCCATATCAACACCAAACCAATCAAAATCATCTATATCTGGTAGTGGTATAATGAAGTTCAATACAAATAAACCAAAATATATGTACTAGGATAATCCTACTGAAATTGTTGATAAATTAAAACTTCTTATCGCCTCACAAACAGCTGGTCATAGTAATCATAACAATGAGATAATTTCAATAGTTGAAGAACTTCGGGAGCCAAAAATTATAGAATAAACTTATAAATAGGAAAACTATTTGTATTTAACTGACATTATTAAAATGAGATCGACAAGTTTGGACATACTCCTCAGCTAAAAAGAGGGATTCAGTTGACAATAAAGTTTATGTTGAAAATATATTATACAAATCAAAAGAGGATTTGGACCTTCGCGTACATAATAAAGTTGATGAAGTAGATAAATCTATAAACGAGTTTTTATAAAGTTAATATTGAAATTCCTAAACTGAGAATATTAATTTATATAATAATACGATTTTTGGAAAACTTGTAGAGAATAAAATAAGTTTTGAGAAAATCTTACAAAAATCAAAAAACTATTTGTATACGTATATTAATAGTGAAAATAATGAATTGAGAGAATATCTTATAAGTGAAAATGTTAAATTAAAGAGTATAAATACAAATAGCTTGAATGAACTTAAGACGTTTTTGATGACTTATATCAATAGTGAAAATATTGCGTTGAGAGAGTATATTAATAAGGAAAATGCTAAAATTAGGGAGTCAATTACATTGTTGAAAAGTTGTGTAGCATATCTACCCTACCTTATCATAAATCAAAGGGTGTAACAATCCGTTAACACATTGTGACACCTTGTCATAATAAATGCAAATATACAAATATCCAAAGTACATTAAGAGACCGCTTAGAATTACATAAACATTCCAGCGCACACGCTCTACGATCCTTCGCTTATACATAAGCAGATCGTGGTGCGTAGGAATGCTTAGCATGCACTTTGCAGCTCAAGTGGTCAAACCATACAAAACATATTCATGCCTTCTGCATACATATGTATATACCACTAGACTTATACATACATATAAACCCAAAATGAACATATAAGAACGATTCTCAATTAAGTAACAGAACGAAGCAGACGCTCCAATCTAAAAACGGTCTGTGCTCGAACTTATTAGTTCAAAGTTATTGCCTGCCGATCCTGCCAGGAGTTATTACATGGCGAACGTGACAGGACTCACAGGCTGCAGCCTAGTTCAACAAGTGCGAAGTGCATAATGGCATAATACCAGGTAAAAAAAAGCATTAAAACATTGCAAAAATCAAAGTGGAAATTTTGAAAGTCCCAGGCACAACTAACAAATTACATTGAATTCGTTGGCAGTGGAAAGTATCCTAAGGCAGCTGAAGACTTGAAAATCCAAATAATTGATTGCAGAGGACCCCATGTTCGAGAAAGCTGTTCCGATTGAACAAAGGAATTTGCGGACGTTGCAAAAGTCCTTGCAGGCAAATCCAGCCGGTGGACCACTCCCACTCACAATAGCTAAGTACCGGGCTCGACAAGAAAAGAAAGCGATACCAAAGCACAAAAGGAGTGAATGGTGAGTGAAACTCTTGCAGCAACGGCGACTGGTCAAGGAAATGATTCTGTTAGCCAAAGCTACACAGAGCGTCTTCAACACCTAGATCAGCAGCTTCGCGTTGGTGCGAAACAACGCAAACGGGCTGCATAATTACGAACACCCCAATTTGCTTTAACATTAAGTTCTAAAAGCCTATGTGAGAAACCGCTGCTTGAAAAAATACTAAACACTGATAGGCCTTACACTAACAAATACGGTTAGAGAAAGAGAATATTTCTCTTTAATTGAATTGCTTTTATATATATTCGATAAGAAAACAAAATTTTTTTTAATGTTCATGAAATACATTTTTTAACTGCGAGAGGTTCTTGTCGGGAGCTTCCTGAACCCTCTTATTCGAACATGAAATGCATATACATATTATATTTATGAAGCTATATGTCAAGTTTGGTTACTCTAGCTCTTATTATTTACCAAAATTGCACCAAGAACAGGATATCGATATCGATTGCTTGGAAACGGAGTAAACTATCGATTATCGGAAACAAACTCGATCTGCGCAGGCACTAGGAGCATCTACACTTAAAATTTCAATTTCAATTTCTCTAGCTCTTATAAGTTCTGAGATCCTTGCGGTCGTACATACGGACTGACGGACAGACGGACTGACGGACTGACGGACAGACGGACAGACAGACAGACGGACAGACGGACATGGCTAGTTCGAGTGGCTATTGGTGCTGATCAAGAATATATATACTTTATGGGGTCGGAGATGCTTCCTTCTGCGTTACATACATTCCCATTTTTACTGGGTTCAGGGTATAAAAATTTGTTTCATGAACGTACAAAAAATTTTTTGCTCATTGAATTTATATAAAAACAGTTAAATAAAGAAAAATATAATAAGTGAAGTAAAAGACAATAATGCCAACGTTGTAAACAACGATACAAAATCGTTGTAGATCCTGTTATTAATTATCACCATAGTGTCAGTTTTACAATTTCTGCTTACAATTCATATTAATCATAATAAAATTATTGAAAAAAGATACATGAGTAGGGCAAATAACTTATATAGGATTTAAAAATAAATATGGAGAAAATAGATCATGCTTACGAAAGCTTTCCAAATTTAAGCATTAATGCGATTAGAGTTGTACATTCCCATAGCGAGTCGTATCAGTATATCAGTTCGAGACTGATTATATAGAAGGTTTCGGCGGAATCTGTAGCCCACTTATACACTGCTATGAAGCAGAAAAGGCATTGGTACTTTCAACACTACTATATGTCAGGGTAAAATTAATAGAAAAAGAAAACCAATATTAAGGTATAGCAACTACATGGTTAGTACGCTTACATAAGTAAGAAAAGTCCAGTAAAAGAATGGAATGGAACGAAATGGCGAAACATATCGACGTATTTCGTTACAAATTTGATAAATCTTACAAATGTACAGATGCAGTTATAAAAGCGGAGGCACTAAAATAACATATAGAAATATTAGTAAGGGAATATAATACTATAGTTACCATG